TTCGCAGAGACCCCAAAGACCCCTGTTCTGGTTCTCTCTTGCCCCCATGCATATTGTCTCATACATGCACATGCAAACATGCACACACGCACACACACATGCACATGCACCTCGTGAGACCTGGGATCTGCCCTAGCCCCCAGTTCCCGAGTTGAACAACCACATCACGCCACGGTGCTTGCTCAGGGGAAGCCTTGCTCCCTCTGCGGGCCTGCTGGGCCTGGGAGCCCCGACTGAGCCCACAATGCCACGGAAATCCTTGTTGGATGCCCCCCAAAGGGGCCTTCCTAGCTGGGAAGAGCTCAGAGCTGATAGCTGCCTCCTGCCATGTCAAGGCCCCCTGGAGCCTCAGGGGCTCTAGGGCCAGGAGGTTAGGGTGGGGGGGGCAGGACACTCCTCCCCCTCCCTTTCCTCCCTCCCCCTTTTCACTGTTGCTTTCTATGTATAGCTCCCTAGACCTTTCACTTTTTAAAAAATGCGTTTTGTGTAGAGAAGAAGGAACGTGGATCTTTTTATTTTGCAATCCTAGGCCAGCTAGATACTGGGAGATGATTGATCTTTTAACTTTTTTCAGTGGCCACCTTTTGGTTATCGATGTATCTAGAAGTATGTAAATTAGATTAAATTTCTCTTCTGGAAACACCCGGGGGCAGGCAGCTAGCGTGTTATTCTGTCGAGTGGACAGGCTGGCATGGGCCGACAGCCAGGGCTGGGATCGAGCTCCTCCACTGCCCAGAGCACTGGGTTTTCCCACTGGCTGCCACATCGACGAGATACAACTGTGGTTGAACCCAAATTTGCAGGTGTTGGCTCTCTACGCTGTGGCTGGTTGGGTGGCTCTGGTTGGCTCGTGAAGCGGCTCCTAGAGCTGAGGACCCAGGGCTCTGGGTGGCTGAGCTGGGAAGGAAGTCAAAATCAAGAAACCATTGAGTTGAGTGCTTTCCAAAAGGCAGGCACTGTCCAGAGGGTGTTGGGCACCTATGGTGTAGTGTGTATGTGTGTGGGGGAGGCATATACTTGTGGGGCATATGGTGTAGGGGGGTTGCTGGTCAGAGCGCACAGGGATGGAACTCATCCAGCATCAAGACATGATAAGCTGGGTGTGGTGATGCACGCGTGTAATCTTAGCTCTCGGGAGGCTGAGGCAGGATTGCCTGTGATTTTTGAGGCTACCCTGGGCTACAGTGAGACCCTGCCTCAAAAGAAAAATACGGGGCCAGGGATTTAGCTCAGTGGTTCCACCACCTGCCTTTGCAAGCTCAAGGGCCTGAGTTAGATCCCCGATACCAAAAAATAGTTTTTGTTTTGTGTGATCCCAGCGGGGGAAGGTTCTTCCCTAGAGCATCAGACATACTAGGCAGGCACCCTACCACTAAGCTACACCTCTAACCCCGAGATACCTGACCTCTATGAGACACACATACCCTGACCCCGAGTAACAGGGAAAAAAAGAGCTGCTTAGTCCTGTGCCTTGTTTTCTCTCTCTGCATATGTTTACTGAACATTTCTGAGATCGTAAGTGATTTTGTTGGCTGCTGCTCCTTGTTTATTGAATGTAGTTGCCAGCTACTCTTCACTAAATGGCCAGATGCTGGAAAGTGGGAATGACTTGGGGTGTGGACAGCAGGGGCCTCCTCTACCCCATCCTGTTTTTCCTTGGTCTCCCTGGTGCCTCTGTCTGAGAAGGAGGGATTAACAGGCAGCATTAATGTGCCCACAAGGGTGGTCTCTGGTCTGCTTGCTCCCCCTCCCTGGTGCCTGGTGCTTGCCATCCTGCTCTGTGTAGAGACTTAGGGAGCAGGAAGCTCATCTCATGGGATGACAGCGGACCTAAACTTTGTTTCAAGTTTTTATAAAACCAACATTTAAATTGTAAACATACAGGGTGGATATAAAAAAATTCAAATGATAAAAGAACTTGCAACACAGGATGCTCCTCCCCACCCACCACCATACACTGATGGCTGTGTGTCCTCACAGAGGTCATCCGTTCTTACGTAGAGGGATCTTTTCCAGCAACTACTGAGCACAGCCTTTGTGCTTAAGCCATTCTTTTGTCTCAGCCTTTGAGCTGCTTGTTCTCTGCCTGTGAAGGTTGTTAGGTGTTAGTTGAAACCTTCAGGGTGAAGTGACTGGCAATACCATAAATGAAGCTGTAGGATCTAGGAGAGGTGTCCCAGGTCCCTGCCTTAGTTTGGAAACCAGGCACGAGACCCTGAGGGTGACATGACGATGTGCTTCACAGGATGTATTTCAAAGCTGTGAAGCACATCAATTCTATGTACTTCCTATGTGGGGTTTTTCCACTTAACGCGTTAAGTGGCTTTGTTCCATGGGGCAACAATTCTGTTGTAAACCCCATTTAAGGGAATTTTGTCTAGACATTTTATCGTGCAGGATTCTAGCTGTATAAAAATAAGAGCAAATGGTAAAACAAACCATTTACTCATGACCTCATCTTAACTCCCCTTTATCTCCCTGTCTCTCCACCTGAGTTATGGTTAAGCATATCCTGGCATCAGATCAGTTCATCTCAATATTGTTTCTCTGGAGGATGTGGATTATTTATTTTACAGTATTATAACTTAAAGCCAGGGGTGCTCTACCACTTAGCTACATCCCCTGTTATTGGGACACAGTCTCACTAAGTTGCCCAGGTGGGACTTCCTGTCTTAGTTTCCTTTAGTGCTGGGATCATAGGCATGTGCCACAGCACTGGTTATGAAATTGACTGTTTAAAGTGCCATTACAGCCAGGCATGGTGATGCATGGCTATAATCCTTGCACTTGGGAGGTTGATGCAGGACAATCACCAGAAGTCTGAGGTCAGCTTGGACTACTGTACATAGTTCAGGGCCAATCTTGTCTCAAAAGCAAAGCCATACAAAAAGTGCCATTAGTCTACCTAAAGAAACTGATGATCAGCGGGTGTGATGGCTCACACCTGTAATCACTACACTCAAGCCGAGACAAGGGGTTAAAGCTGGAGCTCAACCTGGGCAATTCAGCAAGACATTGTGTCAAAAAGAAAACTCAGTGCAATGGCCTTTGTTTTAACCTCCAGTACACAAAAAGAAAAAAGTCATTCCTTAATACCAAAAAGCAACAGCCTATGTAAAACATTTTTAGGCTGTCGTGGTGCATGCCTGTCCTTTCAGCACTCGGGAAGTTGAGGCCAGCCTGGGCTACTTAGTTCAAGGCCAGCTAGGACAACATAGTGAGACCCTGTCTCAAAAAAACACAAAAATAAAATGTACAAAACAATATACTGATCATATTTGTACAGTCTAATGCATTTTTACAAATATGTTAAGTGCCATTTTCAGTCTCTGGTCAAGTCATCTCAGAAACTACGAGATTTCCCCGACAGTGGCATCCACAAATCTGAGAAGTTTGTGGAGAAGGCTGGCACTGGGCTGCACTGAGCGCTGATTTTTGTTTAGTTCGGGTTTTTTGGTTTTTTGTGGTGTTGAGGGTCCAACCCGAGTCCTCATATGCTAGACAAGGGCTCTGCCACTGAGTCCCTAGTCCTGACTGCACAATTACAGGATCTCTGAAATGCTGAACAAACCAAAGGATTTTAGAAGAGAGGCCCATTAACACAAACAGTAAATTGCTGGGTGTGGTGGTGCACGTCTGTAATCCCAGCACTCGGGAGGCTGAGGCAGGAGGATCACTGTGAGTTCGAGACCAGCCTGAGCTACATAAGGTCAGTCTGAACTACACAGTGAGTCCCTGCCTCAAAAAACC